GATTTAACAACTTCATTTAAGAAGAAAAACATTGACCACCTGAACACTAAGTATGACAATCCGGCAACCCAAGAACTTCTGGACATGGCGTGCTTCAGGGATCCCAGATTCAAAACCAGCTTTATCAGCAGTGACAAGGTCTCAAGACTTCAAAACCAGAGTGATGTCAGAAATGGAAGAAGCAGCACAGAAGGTAATTAGGTAATACATATTTTCACACAAGGATGATAAGGTATACTCACATTTATCTGACACTGAATGGCAAGTGACTATTCAAGTTGTTGTTAAAAATGTCTAATGCTTTTTTCCCCTGCATTATTTTTCTCTGTTCAAGAAGAGACTTCACAGACCCAGAAACCCAAGCCAATGATCCACTCAGTGCCACCCTTAAATAGGCAAAGAAATCACTGGGCAGTTCATTCATTCATTCATTCATTCATTTATAGAGCACCTTCTGCAACCTTTAGCAAGCCCAAGGTGCTGAACACAACAATAAGCAGGCAATTGTATCAATAAAAACTATCAAAAATGAAAACAAAATCAAAAACAACATAAAAAACAGATGAGAAAAATTGTTAAACATTTAACATCAAGACAAAGTTGTAGACCCCAGTGGTGAAAATGCCTGGACATAATAATGGGCCTTAAAACATGACTTAAAAATCTGGAAGGAAGGCGCCAGCCTAACAGTCAAAGGTGGACCGTTCCACAAAGTTGGAGCAAGGACCGCAAATGCACAATCTCCCCTAGATTTGCATCTGGAACAGATCTCTGCGGCACACCGCATTCAGGACAGCCCCACTTCCTAACTCATCTTTGGCGCAACTGTCACAAGCTGCAGAAGCTGAGCTTAACAGCTACTTGCTGTCCTCCAACATAAGACAGTGAGGAAGACCCTTTGGCATGGTGGAAACTTCACAAAATGATCTTCCTACAGCTGAGTAAGCTAGCAAGGAAGTATCGTTGCATTTCTGCAAGTAGTTCCCCATCAGAGAGACTTTTTAGTACATCAGGAAACATAGTAACATGTCAGCACACGTTTAAAACCTTGCAAAGTAAACATGCTAGTTTTCCTTTCACACACGTGTACACAAATGCACACACACGCACATATGAACACACACCACTGGATATTGCACTATTGTGTAGGTCAACAACACATAACATTCTTTAAAACTTATGTTGTCCTACAGTGTTGCTAATTGTTGTTCGTGCTGGTTTTTGCCAGTTCTTCTTCTGAAAGGTAGGCAGTCGTCTTCTCCTAGTTTGGCCCAGCACAGTTCACTTTCCAAATGCAGCAACAGCCTTCTATCCTAACCACATGAGTGGAGAAAATGTTCAGTTGATCAGCAGCAATGAGAGAATTTGCTGCTGCATCTAAACTTATTTTCTTTTTTTTAATTATTATTTCTTCAAAATACCCTGGTATGGGATGTTTTTACTGCCAATACAGTAGCAGGTGCAGGTGCAATTTTATTTCAATTAAAATGTTATGTTGTAATGGAATTCATGCATTAGTTTTTCTTTGCTATGAACCTAGAGCAGACATCACACAGAAGACAACACTGCATACTTTAGTATTTGTTCATTTATCGCAAGTAATATTGACATCGCAATATTAAGCACTGTTATCGCATATCGCAAGTTTTCCTAATATCGTGCAGCCCTACTTTTAAGTTGTTTCTGCATCTCCTTAGATGTTTTCTCTGCTTGATGCCAAGGATCTGACCCTTCTCAAACAGACTAACATCTTTTCCATGACTGCCAGATGTGTCTTTCCACATGTTTGTTTAGGAAATGAAAAGCTGCTTGTTGCACCAGTTGGGGTAAATAACTTGTTGCCAGCTGAAAGGTAATCACCCAAGCAGTAATTATCCGATTGGAGGAGTTTACATTAAAATACATGCAAGACTTTTGTCAAAGTCAAAAATATGCTGCAAAAAACACCCGGCCTTCCAAGTGAGCTCTGCAGCGCTGAAGCATCTTTTGTGGTAATTATTTTTGCATTCCACACAACTGCCATTTTTTCTAAATAATTCAAATAACATCCTTGCAATTGTGAACAGATATTGTCAGAAGCCTCTGAGCCTATTTCAAAGAATTCCAAGAAACTCACTGTGCTGATAGTCAAGCCTTAGAAAATACATAAAAAACAAGTAAAAAAACTAAGCTGCAGAATAAGTCAGGGGGTAAATTATGTCAAGCAGAATTGACATTCAACAGAAGTTGAAACACAACTTGAGGTCAAAACGCAATGAGTCATCTTTATTTTTAGAAGATTAGTTATAGCATTGCCATCTGCTATGAGGCCACAGAGAATCGAAACCACTCTACAGATATTGAAACACTCCTGTCTCTTGATGGACTCTTAAGTCAAGCATCTCTACCAACTATAATGCTAAGAAATTGCTATTGTTTTCCAGTAAAATGAGAGTTGAAGTGAAGGCATGTAAATGTTCTTTTGTTTGCCTTTCAGCAGGAAGAGAACATGGAAATTATGAATGCTGAATTCCAAGAATCTTTGTAGAGGGTTGGGGAATAAGTAGAGTCAAATTATGTTTCCCTACAGGTCACGATCACTCTAATCAAAATACGTGATGCATGATTATGAAACTAGATGTGTTCAGTGAGCTTTCTTAGTTATTTAGCTTTCTTCAATCCAAAATATTTCTGCAGCTCTTGTTGCTGAAGTTCGATTTAAAAATACTTTATTCATGGTACATATTTTTGCCTAGATCACTGTCAATATTGAGAGAAACCCTGCCCTCTAGCAGTACTAATTTATATCAGCTGCTTTAGTCCTAATCAATGGCCTATAAAGGCAAGACACACAGAAAAGACTTCATGAGTAAAAGCAAAAAACTCTCCCAAGATCTTCGTAAACTTATCGTTAAAATGCATTTTGATGGGAATGGTTATAAGTGCATTTCCAGAATGCCGAATGTTCCTGTGAACACTCTGGGGGCCATTATCCAAAAATGGAAAGAGCATCAGTTCACTATAAACCGGCCACAAGCAGGTACTCCACCTAGGATTCCTGTCAGAGGAGACCAAAGAACAATCAGGAGAGCCAAGAACCACTCTAAACAGAACTTCAGGAAGACCCTTCATCAGCAGGTATTTTTGTTTCAAAGAAAACTATAAGCAATGCACTGAACCGCAATGGCATACATGCACACTCACCATGCATATTCATTTGCTGAAAAATAGCATGATAAGGCTTAGTTAATGTTTGTGAAACAGCATTCGGATACTACAGTGTGGTCAGATGAAAGCAAAAATTAACTTTTGGGTTGTCATTCTACATACCATGTTTGGAGAAAAAAGTGTACCGCCCACCACACCAAGAACACCATACCAACAGTTAAGTATGGGGTGGTAGCATCAAGGTGTGGTGCTGCTTTTCACCAAGGGGTACTGGCAGACTTCATATTAATGAAGGCAGGATGAATGAAGAAATGGGAACATTCTGGATAAAAATCTGCTGCAATCTACTAGAAAGCTGAAATGAAAAGGGGATGAACATTTCAGCAACACAAGGCCATGGTGTTAAGGCTGGTGCCTTTTTGCCCTGGGGGCTTGGAGCACCCACTGGTGTCATCTCCTACCCTCAAAAGCAGAGGTTACTTTTACTACAATGAAGAAAACAACAAACGCTAATAGCTAGCTAAAGGGCAAGATGGCCACAGCTAAAGGAACAGGTTCCTAAATGGGTGATTGAACAATGTACTGCTAGGATAGGAAGTCAGTGAGTCCCTGGAAAAAAGAAAAAAATGAATGCAAGTCAATGGGGACATAAGCTATTTTCTAATCCAGTTTGATACGTGCCATGGATTTCACATATGATGTCCTTTAATTTTAAAAATACATTTTGATGCCAAAAAAGTTCTTGTTTTCAAACCGCGTCAAAACTTCTTTTTTAGGTTTTGTGTGAAAAAACATATTGAATTCAAATGTTTATCACACCAAATTGGCATAATCTAACAAGATACAAAGAGGGGAAAATTTGTTTCGTGAGTTTCGAACCTTTCTACCAGGATGACATTAAATGCGGAGAAAACCACTATAAATCTGACCATAAGCCATCGGCTTGAACACTGCTGCTAACCACCTAAACATTCTCCCTCTCCCAATAATAACATTTTACTCACTTTGACATGGAATGTGCTACTAGTAGTCTACCTGCTGAATTAATTATAGATTCACTAGGATAAATGCAATAAAGTTTATCTCTCACTAAATAGAATAAAGTTAGTTTATTTACCAGATCAATAATTCTGTTATATCAAATAATGTAGGCTAAGATTTAACACAAAGAAAATGTTTTATGATTTATCCCTTCCACTGTCTTATTGGGTGACTCCGCCAGGAAAGCTGATCATTGAGATGGATTGATGGTTTATCTTTTGAGGCCCGTGTGGCAGGGGTGAGGTGGTGCTCACTCCTCACCCCCTGCCATGTGGACCTCAAGGGATAAACCATCAACCCTGCTCAATGATCAACTTGGAAGGGTCACATGATAAGACAGTGGAAGGGTTAAAAAATATTTGTTTCTTGATTGCTCAGTCAGCAACCTTTTTATTTGATCATGAAATGATTTATATTCTAATGTTTATTGCGACAGTGGCACAGGAGTTAAGTGCTCGCCCCGTAATCGGAAGGTTGCAGGTTCGAGCCTCGCTCAGTCTGTCGCTGTCGTTGTGTCCTTGGGCAAGACACTTAACCCACCTTGCCTGCTGGTGGTGGTCGGAGGGACCGGTGGCGCCAGTGCTCTGCAGCCTCGCCTCTGTCAGTGCGCCCCAGGGCAGCTGTGGCTACATTGTAGCTCATCCCCACCAGTGTGTGAATGTGTGAATGACTAATTGTGTTGTAAAGCACCTTGGGGAGGTTCCAGGACTCTAGAAGGCGCTATATCAAATACAGGCCATTTACCATTTATTTGTGTCCAGAGAGAAACAGACAAAGATGCAAACGCATGCACGCACGCACGCACGCACGCACACGCACACGCACACACACACACACACACACACACACAGACACACACCTTAAAAGTTGTTTAGTTCTTCTTTTCCATCATGGTGGCGAAATGGGATCAGCCTGGTAGATAGTTGTCATTGTTGTTGTGGTATCCTGGGTTGAGCTGCTTGATCATCTCTTTGAAACCTTGATACCGACCATTCAATTCAATTTAAGTGTATTTATATAGCGCCAAATCACGACAAGAGTCGTCTCAAGGCACTTCACATGGTATTCCAACAAAAGGTCTGTTCATTAAGCCAATCAGAAAAAAGTTTCCTATATAAGGAACCCAGCTAATTGCATCAAGTCACTGACCATGGACAGGAGTCTCGTGACCAACTTGCTCACAATGGCCTCGGTCAGGACATTAACTTGCTGAGGTGTGCACGTAACAAACTTGTCCATTGACGAGGAGCACTTTTATGAACACTGTAATTATGCGGGATGAAATAAATCATTAGCGTTTGTAATTAGAGCAAAAATATGTGACATACAAATGTGTTCTAAAGGTAATAACATCACCACCACTACTGGTGTTGCTACAGCTATAAATACAAGTAACTCTCTGTTGATGTTAGCAGCTAACAAGAGGTAAACTTATCGATGTGACTCTTTGTTCTTCCTCTCAAGATACTCATTCATTGCCGATGTGCTCCCGTGAAAGGAGAGTTTCGCTTTGCAGAGTTTGCATTCCACGGACCTTTCTTTTGAATTTGGATAACGTTCCCAATCTTTTCAGCTAAGTTGCGACTCGCCACATTCTCCGGTGAAAGCTGAGCTGGATGGCCACCACTGCGAATGTGCCTCGGACCTAAAGCGGTGGCTGAGCAGAAAGGCAGAAAGCAAAGGCCAAATGTGCTGCAGCAGGCAAGATTAAATTTTTTTTAAAAATAAAATAAGGTCTATTTTATTTGTCAGCATCATCGTAACGAGTCGACTAATCATGGCAGCCCTAGACATTTTGCTGCGGCTGCCTAATGCTCTGTTTTGGCTTGAGAAGGGAGGGCCTGGTGACGTACCGTGCCCGAGTCGGTGGTTTTGATTGGTTAGGAGTAAGTAGTGAGTCTAGTATGCTGCTACCTGATAGGGAACACTCCAGTGCTGAGGCTCACCCTAAGGTTTTTAAAGATGTCGTTGTTCAGCCGATATTGAAGAATTCTGGTCTGGATCACTCCATTTATGAGAACTTCTGCCCTATATCAAAAGTCCCGTTCCTCTCAAAGGTCCTTGAGAAAATCGTTCACGGTCAGATCTCTGCTCATACGAACATCAACTCATTGTTGGATGTGTTTCAGTCCACCTTCAGACCACACCATAGCACTAAGTCTGCTTTGATTAGGGTGCTAAATGACATTCTGGTAGCATCCAACTCTGGGTCTAGGGTACTGCTGCTCCAGCTGGACCTTTCAGCAGCTTTTGATACTGTCAATCACCATATTTTATTGGACGAGCTTGGGTCTTGGGTTGGGGCGACATAAATGGTTCCGCTCCTACCTATCCAACCGATCCATCTCTGTCCAGATTGGTGACTGTGCATCCTCCCGTCTCCCACTGTCTTCGGGGTGCCACAAGGCTCTGTTCTCAGGCCATTGCTGTTTTCTATCTACCTTTTGCCTCTGGGCAAAATCCTGAATCAGCACAGCCTGAGCTATCACATTTATGCTGATGACTGTCAATTATATAAAGCAATGGATGAGAAGAATGCGGGCTCGCAATTGGTTGCCTGATGATGTAAAGGGCTGGCTGGCATCACATTGTGGTCGGCTGACCTCCTGGTGCTGTGCACATCCCAGATGCGATACAAATCAAGGGGTGAACGAGCATTTGTACATGCTGCCCCAAAGCTGTGGAACTCGTTACCCATTAAAGTTTGACAGGCTCCATCATTGGCGGTTTTTAAATCTCATTTAAAGACCCACTTTTACGATGTGCCTTTTAGATATTGACTCGTGGCACAGGAGTTAAGTGCTCGTCCCATAATCGGAAGGTTGCAGGTTCGAGCCCCGCTCAGTCTGTCGCTGTCGTTGTGTCCTTGGGTAAGACACTTAACCCACGTTGCCTGCTGGTGGTGGTCGGAGGGACCGGTGGCGCCAGTGATAGGCAGCCTCGCCTCTGTCAGTGCACCCCAGGGCAGCTGTGGCTACATCGTAGCTCATCTCCACCAGCGTGAGAATGTGTGTATGAATGGGTGAATGACTGTGTTGTAAAGTGCCTTGGGGGGTTCCAGGACTCTAGAAGGTGCTATATCAAATACAGGTCATTTACAATTTTGACCACTTTATTGTTTTATGTGTTCTTAGTATTCCTCATGTTTTATCTGCTTTTGATAGGTATTTTTATCTTCTGTTTTAGTTGCTTAGATTGGTTGTGTTTCGTTTAGCCTGTGCAGCACTTTGGGCAGCTCCCATGCTGCATTTTAAACATACTATATAAATATGGTATTATATGGTAGGTTATAATGAAAAAAGGAAACTTTTTTATCGAAGTTTAATCGACCCGTTTTTTTTTAATCTATCGCACCACATGTCTATCGCTAGATATACCGAACTATTAAATTATCATCCAGCCCTATCTTGGACTGGACTAAATCCCATGCAAAGGTTGCGCTGTGTCACTGTAAATTCAAGGAAAAACTGTGACTGTAGTTTAGAGAGTACATTTGATAGATAATAATTCAACTGAAGCAGTGGTGTAACGAGGCCCACTCTGACTGCTGAAAATAGAAGCAACTGACAGTGGATGACTAAAAGTGATAACAAGAAGAGCTGCAGCATCTGTGGCCTTGTGAAAGCTCATCACAAGCTGAAGTACCTGTGTTGAAGCACACAGCAGTGGAGGCAGTATCATCATTTTAAAGAATATGATTGAGCTAATTTTATTTTATTTTTTTGGTTCCTTAACAATGTCAGGATAAAGTGACGAGTTTGTCTTCTACCTATTACCAAACAACAGGGGGTGGAGCTCTGCTCAGATCCTCTAAATGTGTAAACATAGACAATAGTGAGAACAGTGACACGCCCAAGGAGATGTTGGATTTACTTTATTTGTATCCGTTGACACTCAAGCATTGAGGCAATCGTTTTAAAGCAGAGTAAATAGGCCAGGGGTCAGCAACCCGCGGCTCTAGAGCCATATGCGGCTCTTGAGCCATATGCGGCTCTTTCATCCATCTGATGAATCTGCATGTAAAATAATTAATGATTATTTAATTAAAATAAATTTTATTTTACTGCATTCATTTTTTATCTGTATGCCAATTCTAAATGTAAAGATTGTCCACGTAAACCTGAACAGGTTCAGCGGTTGACAGGTCACCTGCTGGTGCGTAACCAGATGTCTCTATAGGAGCTTTCTGAGCTGAAGAGGACATGAGATTCTAGACTTGTCCTCAAACAGGCTCATGGATGCGTCGTGGCGTCGCCACATTGGAAACAGGAACAAGCGCTATTCAGCCAAAGTTTCATAATCAGGGAACATTTTCTAAGTGACAGACAGGGTTTGGAAAACACTCGCTTCAGTGAGAAAAATCTTCCTGCATGCGCTCTGGTTCTGCGACTCGCTCCAAGCCCCTGATCTACACATCTTCAGCTCGCTGCTCAACTTACGTGTGCGCTGACTGTGAGCTCCGCTGAGCTCAGTGTCCAGCTCAGATGTCCTGATGGGAATTTTTTCTTGATTGAAGTTGCTACCTCCGCAATGTGCATAACGATTAAAATGTCAGCACATCTGCAGGCTTGAGGTTTCTACATCAAAATAAACAATCAAATACGGGAAATATCTGGTCACTGCGAATCCCGCCATATAACTGTTTTGCCATCTTGTGAAGATTGTTGCAAACAGGAGCATTAAACTTGATTAACACCAGAGCCATGCACACTGCGCCATTATCTCCGTCACTGTAAATGAGGGAAAAAAACTAATTGATCGGATCATTTTCTTTCCTTTTCAACATTGTTTCATGTAAAGTTTCGTTCTGTACTAAGTTTAATTACAACAATCCAACGAGAAAGAGCCAGGATTTGTATTCTGAACAGTTTAAACACAATTTAAAAGGAGACATGTGACACGTCAAAAAGTGGCACCTGCCCAACTATTAAAACCAGCAGGGTGAAAAATATCTAAATGCTGTAGGCAGAGATGGGCTACAACTTCTGGATCAATTTTATACTAATTGTTTTATTAATTGTCTTCTGTTGAAAGATAACTGTGAGGTACATGAGCGAATGATATTGGTTGCTGTCACCTGCTGTCATGAGTTAAAGCAGCTCTGGGCTGTCTTTGGGTGGGCCCAAGAGCAATTGGGTAGGCCCACCCACAACACTGCAGCTGCTGCGGCTCCCAGTGTTTTCTTTACTGTGGGAAACGGGTAATCATGGCTCTTTGATGGGAAAAGGTTGCCGACCCCTGAAATAGGCTAAATATAACCCTTACCTGGGTGCAAAATTTATAAAACACAAGAAAATTGCACTAAATTATAGGTTTATTCCTCTTCTAAACTAATAGGAACTAGTGAAAAATAGGTCTAAATCATAATCAGCTTTAAATCTAATTTTAATTAAATGATAGTCATTTAAACAGATGATGAGATGTGTACAAACTTTCATAGGTTAAGGCTATTAACCCAGCAGGATGCAAGGATCTGACGCGAGAATGGCAGAAATTCCAAGAACATCACGCATATTTGTGTCTTGAACACTTCTGCCACGTTTGATCGACAAATAAGCTCACAGCTGATCACCCTGAGTGAATAGAAAATAAAAACAATCAAAAGTTGCATGTGATCCGCCATGTTGTGGAGTTGCTATTGTTTAGCTTCAACTAGACAAGACACTCCGCTCGTTCCTGGCTGTTAAATCAACACAGCCTTCCATGGTCGCAAGCCAATGTGGGTGAGTTCATGGAGACAGTTAGAAACGTGTGGCGTAGATCTAGTGAAACAGATTGTTCTGTCCCAATCATTTTCCTGTCCTTTTCCTTTTTTTTGTTCCTTGTTTTCACAATCAGCGTGCACCTCAGACTGGCCGATCGTATTTCAAAAGGCTTTTCTGGTTATCACAGATGTTCTGCCTCTCATTCAAGAGGCTTCTTCAGTTCTGAAAGTTGGGTTATGGGTAAGAGACTTGTACATTTTGGTTAGAAAATAACAAACTGTGTTTTTGTATTATTTCTCATGTTTTTGTCTAAATTAACACAATGTTATGGTTTGTTTTTTCCAGATCATGCAGTGAGTAGTACTTATGATAACTACATATAAAAATGTAGTTAATGTAATGTAATGTAGTTTATATAAAAATGTAGTGAAGTTACAATTCACGTAAACTGTAAACAAAAACACGTAAACACAGCAGCATAAAAACATTCCTCACAAGAGTCTATATTTTAGTGTCGGTCCTTCATTTTCAAAACCTCTGCAGTTAGCTCCATCATAGTGTCAAACAACTTAGGGTCCAAATCCTGCAGCCAGCCAGGATTTGAACCAGAAACCCATAGGATCAAGGTCTGGGCAGTTTTCTAACAATGGATCCAAAATTGCTGTTTTGTTCTCCAAAGCTACTCTAACCTTATAAGATGGTGCTTTGTAATGGAGAAGCCATTCTTCATCACTAAACTGTTGTTGGAGGGTTGGAGGAGTTCCTCTGGGAGGATGTTTAAGTAATGTTCTTTATTCATGGAGAGAGTCCACTCCCTAAGCTAAGAGGCAGTCCAAAAATAACTTAATATGTCCTTCGGGGAGTCTGAGAAACCTCTTAGGGGGATTTTATTTTTAGTAAATTATATAAGAATTAGTGGTGGCTCTATGGCTTTAATATAGTCAAACTGACACAAATGTAATGATACTCACCTCATCCAGTTTGGTTTGCTGACAGGGAAAAGAGAAGGTGAAGCCCAGAGGAAGCTTTTTATCCTTTATGCCCATCTTCTCCAGGAAATTAGCCAGACATTCAGCTATGTGATCAAATAGCTACGAGGAGAGAAAAAGTGTTTCTCATTAAGTATGAGCTGAACAACCTCAGCATGGGTGCTGCAACCATCACAGTCCATACTAAAGCCTTTGGATCAAATTAGAAGTATTTGTGAACGTTTTTCATTTAGAGGGAAAGTCCTAATGATGCAAAAGCAGAGGAATGCTATCTTCTGTACATTCATTCTGTGTATTCTGTCACCTTGCCTTGCTTGGTTCATCTCTGTGTTTTAAAAGAACCAAGCAAGGCGAGGCATGAGGAGTAATAGATACAGTCCATCCGGAAAGTATTCATAGCGCTTCACTTATTCCACTTTTTGGTTTCTGTTACAGCCTCATCCCAAAATGGATTAAATTCATTTTGCCCATAAAATTCAACACACAACACCCCATAATGATAATGTGAAAAAAGTGTCTTGAAGTTGTTGCAAATATATTAAAAATAGAAAACTTGAGAAATCGCATGAACATAAGTATTCACTTTGACGTGAAGCTCAGAATTCAGCTGAGGTGCATTCTTCTGTTTCCACTGATCATCCTTCAGCTGTTTCAGCAGATTAATTGGAGTCCACCTGTGGTAAATTAAGTTGATTGGAAATGATTTGGAAAGGCACACACCTGTCTATATAAAGCACCTGGGTTGACAGTGCATGTCAAAGCACAAACCAAGCATGAAGACAAAGGACTTGAGTGTAGACCTCCAAGACAGGACTGTCTGGGGAAGGTTACAGAAGAATGTCTGCTGCTTTAAAGGTTACTATGAGCACAGTGGCCATCATCCGTAAGTGGAAGAAGTTTGGAACCATCAAGACTCTTCCTAGAGCTGGCCGGCCTTCTAAGCTGAGTGAACGGGGGAGAAGGGCCTTGGTAAGGGAGGTGACCAATAATCTGATGGTCCAGGGTTTCCCTTACATAGGCGTAGCCGTGGCGGCCCGCCACGGCTTAAATCCCACCGCCACGCCTACAAGATCCCAAGTTTTTTGTTTGTTTGTTTTTGCGCTGTTTCTATGGAAGCCCATTCCCACCAGTCAGATAAAAAGTCATAATAATGAGATAGTATCTCATAATTATGACTTTGTATGAGATAGCTATCTCATACAAAGTCATAATTATGAGATACTAAGTCATAATTATGAAATACTAAGTCATAATAATGAGATAGTATCTCATAATATTGAGATAGTATCTCATTATTATGACTTAGCTATCTCATAATTATGACTTAGCTATCTCATTATTATGACTTAGCTATCTCATTATTATGAGATAGCTAAGTCATAATAATGTCGTGTCCTGGAGACATCTCGAGACTGGTCTAGTGGCACTGCGGTTTCTTCAATGGACTTCGGTACCTTTGGGGTCCACGGACCTCCTGACATTCCGGATCTACCATGGGGGTCTCCGAGAGGGTACATAGACTCGACAGATTGTGTCTGATGTGGTTTTACAAACCATCACTATAGTTATAGCAGACCAAATTCACTCTCTCAGAACTCAGTTTCTTCAGATACAAAGGTTCTGATAACATCACATTCACATCATCACACCTCACTTTCCATCCACTTAGATTCAATCAACACATGAAGTGTTCCTAGTTGTCATGTTTTTTTAATTGTTTGGAAAATAAATTTCTTTTTATAAAATTGACTGTCTGAATTGATACGAAGTGTCTTACAATCCCTGAAGAAACAAAGAATTCTAAATCTTCTGGTTAAACATTCAAAGATCAATCAGACTGAATTTCCATATTTATATAGAAATTCATTTCTTATTGGTCAAATGTAGTGTAGTATATTGAGCTTTAAAAGCACCCAAAATACATATGTATGCTATCCCTACATATTATGTAGGGATAGCATTTGTTACATTTGGAGAAAATAAAGCACTGCTCATCACCAGGCCAATACCATCCCTACAGTGAAGCATAGTGGTGGCAGCATCACGCTGTGGGGATGTTTTTCAGGGGCAGGAACTGGTAGACTAATCAGGATAGAGGTTAAGATGACTGCAGCAATGTACAGAGACATCGTGGATGAAAACCTACTACAAAGTTCTCTTGACCTCAGACTGGGGTGACGGTTCACCTTTCAGCAGGACAATGACCCTAAGCACACAGCCAAAATATCGAAGGAGTGGCTACAGAACAACTTTGGTGAATGTCCTTGAGTGGCCCAGCCAGGGCCCACACCTGAACCCCACTGAACATCTCTGGAGACTGTGCACCGACGCTTTCCATCCAACCTGATGGAGCTCGAGAGGTACTGCAAAGAGGAATGGGCAAAACTGCCCAAAGATAGATGTGGCAAGCTTGTGGCATCCTATTCAAAACAACATGAGGCTATAATTGCTGCCAAAGGTGCTTCAACAAAGTACTGAGTAAAGGCTGTGAATACTTATGTTCATGTGATTTCTCAAGTTTTTTTATTTTTAATAAATTAGCAACAACTTCAAAGACACTTTTTCACATTATCATTATGGGGTGTTGTGTGTTGAATTTTATGGGCAAAATGAATTTAATCCATTTTAGAATGAGGCTGTAACAAACAAAAAAGCCGAATAAGTGAAGCGCTATGAATACTTTCCAGATGCACTGTATATTAAGGGTAACTTCAGATTCAAGAAGACTACAGCAGTAAAAGAGAAAATCTTTTGTTTAAACATGTAATGACTGTTTTAAAAATTTATTTTCTTACTTTACTTTAAACTGAGTCTGAATGTAATCAGATCTCATCATTGATAAGACTAGTTCCAGTAGACACTTTTACTGTGTTATTTTCAGTCATACATCTAAGATGTTAGACTCTGTCAGTCTCTCTCCCTGTGTGTGTGTGTGTGTGTGTGTGTGTGTGTGTGTGTGTGTGTGTGTGTGTGTGTGTGTGTGTGTGTGTGTGTGTGTGTGTGTGTGCGTGTGTGCGTGTGTGCGTGCGTGCGTGCGTGCGTGCGTGTGTAAGCCAAGCAGCTCCAGACAATAAAACCAGTGTTCCTATAAGAATCCACAAAGAGCAGACAGCCAACGATAAATTAGTAATCCCTGTCTTTCATGTCAGAGTTTTAAACTAAGATCTTCTTTTGAGAAATGAAATTAGAGCAGTTTGGGTTAAAATTTGAACATAAAGTTAAAAGCAGTCTCAAGCAAAATCACACAATCCTGTGCAATCAGAGTATGTGTCGTCAATGTTGCTCAGCTAATATCACATCAAATTCTAGCACGAAGGCAGTAAAACTGACGGAGTTGCTACTTTTGTGTGTGATTAAGTCCTTTACCTGTAAGAGCCGTGTGGGATGTGGTTTGTGATGGCAATTTTAAATCACCGAACATTTTTATTCACAAATCTGTAGATAAGACCATCTGTTTTTATGATGGTCATAGTTAAACCTACCTGTTTGATAACTGCAGGATCATTCTGGAAGACCAGATGTTTATTTTGAGTTTATTTCTATAGCAGGTTGTGCGTGTGACAGATGCATTTAGTAGTTGAGTCTGCAGGCGTGTGACTCATGAGGTCAGAGATCTGATTATATCCTTCTCTTTCTGGCTGCAGGTTAATTAATTAACCTTATTTGATCTATTTTTCATCATGACTCTGGCTAAGATACGTTTTCCCACCACAGGTTAACAAACAGTTTCTCGGTTGTATGCGTGATTACTGGATTTGCTGAGGATGTCATTAAAATCAGGATATATTTCAAGGAGTTTACCAACAAACACAAAAACACGAAAACCCGTATTGCCTATCTTTGGTTTTTCACCTGTGAGTAATAAAACTACGAATGAGAAGGTGAATTATTATATTTGTTTATCTTTGAAGATTTACGCCATTGTTAGCGCTGGGATTGGATCGGTCTTTGCTTTGGTGTTACATGGGTGTCTCGCACTTTCTGTGATTTTATAAAGGCAGGTTGGATTGTCTTAACCAACTAATGATCTGAACTGGTTTGGTTACGTGACAAAAACCACACTGAAAACAACAGGTGGACTGAATGCAAGTGTGTTGATGAGTTTCTCGGGCACCTGACAGGTGTGCTGAATGTTATTTTACAGTACCTGGAGACTAAAGCCTGTTTCAGAAACCTACCGCCTCCCATTAACCAGACAGCAACTGAGAAAAACACTGTCAAGTCTGAAATGCCTCCTGGAACATTTTGCAAGGACAATCTGACAAGGTCTTACAGCTACAATACCACTGTCTGAAGTCAACAGAATCACAGCTCCAGATTCTAGGAATCAATAGACTGCTTTCTTATACAAGTCAAAAATAGCTGTCCTTTATCTAAGCTTTAACTACAGAACTTAGCTGCACCATATACATCTTTCATTTGAGCCAAGTGAAATGACTGAAATCACCAGATCTGTGTAACATGTAGAAAATGAGGATTTTCAGCTGTGCTGTTTTTGTTCACCTCCATTGTTTTACACTATTACTGTAAGCCTGACACGCTAAGCTTTGTGGCAGAAGTAAAGAAATAAAGGTGTAAGAAAGTAACACCAGAAGGACTTTACATCACCTGATTTACTGTTCAGTCTTTAACAATAGTCGATCTAACGTGACTAAATTACACGCTGAGAAATCTGATTACAATATGTGACACTTTTAAACTGACTGGGACATAAAACAGGACAGTTTTAGTCATAAAGGATGTGACATCTTACCTCTGAACCGCTGCCTCTCATGACATGCTCAGGAATGTCATAGATCTGATTCTCCATTTCCACCTTTTGCTCTCCGTTACCCTTAACTTTAACCAGGAGAACTCTGAAGTTGGATCCACCAAGGTCCAGCGCCAGGAATTCCCCTTGTTCTGTAAACAAAGATACATTAACCCTAATGAGACACGAACCGTCAACTAGATGTATTTAAATTTTATTTAATGTCTTACTGTATGGAAATATGGGGATCAACCTTTAAAACACTCCTACGAGTAATAAAAACTAGGAGTACTTACTACGCTCATATTGATCCATTGTTTTTAAAATCACTGGTTATAAAAGTAGAGGATCTAAATTATAACATTTTGCAAATTATGTTTAGAGCAAAATTCATGTCACTGCCTGGCAAAGTACAACAGTTTTTGTAAAGAGGTAGAGTAAATATGATTTGAGAGGTGTCTGTAAGTTTATGGTACAAAAAGCTAAGAAGTGTTAAATGAAGACGTTTCTCTGTAATGGGAGTAAAATTTAGTAAAACATGGGACTCAACATAATACATGTGACAGCGCCATCTAGGGACAACTTTTATTTCTGCGCATACCGGTAAGTTATCGTCCATTTATCACCATCGAGGTAAAATCCTCAATATATCGTTATATTGATCTTAGGCCATATCGCCCAGTCCTAGTATATGGATATATGTTTGTGTATTGGCAACTACCAACTACAACTACAGCCTATTGACACGTTGCAGCAATGACACCTGGGTCTACCATATTGGTTGGCAAAAGCATGTAAACAGTGAGCGACAAGAGTACTAAACAAAGGGAAAAGTAGAGCCTGAAATAGTTTTTTGTTGTTTTTTGCAATATTTAGCATTCCTTCAACTAGTTCAAACCCAGTTCAGATAACAGAAGAAGTAGATGGGGCTCATAGAGTGATATTTACAAAAGTTAAATGTTAACTAGCTTACAAATGTTACATTAAGTTCTCTCTGCGGCTGTTCACAGATGTAAACAAGTTTGCCAAAGTTCACTCTGCTGACTTTTTAATTTTGTTATCAACAGCATTTCACGTTGCACTAATGCCAATATAAAAAAGGTCCGGTTCCCTTTTAGTTTTTTGTTGCTGGTGGTGTCACTGGGTTCAGCTGCTGCTCTCAGACCTGGATGAGACAAGATATCGCTGAACAGCGACGCTCATACTAAATAATGTAATTTTAACACACGTAATCATACATAGGAGCAATAATGTTGTAAATCATTATCACGTATTTCACTACAGTGCACGCTACTGCGCATCCTCAATGGGGAAATAGCCATCCACCCATTAGGATTATCAATAATATAAACACATCACATTTATTCCTGTCCCCCTCATGATGAATGTTAATCTTGCTCGGTACAAACATGTTCGCTGCAAATCCGAAGATACTTTGAGAGCTGCTAGTTCATTTGATTGATCGCTGCAGTTTACATCTGTCCTCAGTGTTCATGAAAGTTATTTGACCCACACAAAAAAATAAGTTGACTTTACATCCTTGTATGTGCAGCCAACCGCGCAGGAAGCTGTTACAATTTTACTGTGAATTCAACTAAATAAAAGTGATAAAAGGCTACAAACTGGATTGTTTTGACTAGTTTCACTGGAGTTTTATCATGTGTAAATGGTCTTTTTGCTATCCACCATGGTGAAGGGGGTGGTCCCATGAGTGGAGAGACATCACATGCAAAGGGTCAATATGTATCTATATGTAAGATCGGTCTCCATCTACATGAAATATTTTAATGACTGAATAAAATAAATAGAATACTTTCTTACAGCATGACAGAAAATCTTTTCATTGATATAAATAAAGCTGCACTTTTATGACTCCAAAGTATTAGTTGATGTATCTCAGTGTTTCCCTTACATGGGCGTAGCCGTGGCGGCCCGCCATGGCTGAAATCCCAGCACCACGCCTACATGATCCCAAGTTTTATTGATTTTTTTTTTTGTGCCGTTTCCCGAAGAAGTAGCGGGAACTACTCTGTTGTTGCTTGTGATCACAGCTGGCAGGCAGCAAGGAGGAGGAGGCAGGGCAGGGTGGTTAAAGCTAGGGATGAGCCGGATACTCGTTTCAGACTAGTATCCGGTACGGATAAAGCATTTTTGACGAATACGAGCATGAAACGAGTAAAACTCGTAAAAATCTGTAATCGTGCTGAAGGAAAATCCTCATTGGGTAACTGACTGTCTTCACGCTCTGTGATTGGCCAGTCACATAGAGCGCCCGCCCCTCCCTACACACAAAACTGTAGCCGGGAGCTGCTCTGTAAATAGTTTAATCAAATTAAAATAAAATGGTTCTAGTATTTCATATTTCCTAGTTCCTACTGCATGAGTTCAGATGTATTAATTCATGCACTTAAATATTAATGTTCTGACTGAAAAACTTGTTCTGTAATAGTTCCTTTACTATTGTGATCAAAACTATTTAATCTCAATTCTGAGGCTGCTCTGTAAATAGTTTTCAAATAAACAATACACATAACTTCTGATCAATCCATATCAATTTCAGATTTAAAATAATGTATTGATAAGAGGTGCAGATGTAACCCAGAAGCTGGAACCTTAATGAGGTATTAACTAATTGGCTTACTAATATGATCCATCCTCAATTTAGATAAAATATAAAATATAAATTAAGGAAATTAACAATACTAATTAATAGATATCTAATTAACTAATAGATAATTTCATAATGAATTATTGGAAGGGTGAATAACTAAAATAACGAGTTTAATATTAAACATCGGTTAAAACAAGAATCTTGAACATCCCTAACAGAAACAGAAGAGGAAAGCTGTATACTATTGGTCCAGGTGGGAATCTGAAATTTCATTGGCTGAGAGAAATAAGTCCCGCCTCCGCGAAATAAAACCGTGCGACGCAGCTGAGCGAGAGGAGAGACAAACGGCTGTGCAGCACGCAGATACAGAAAGCAAAGACTGAGCGGTTAGAGAGAGAGAGAGAGAGAGAAAAAAACAACGGTCGAGGCCGTGAAGAACCCTGATTTGGGTGCCGCAAAGATAGAGGGAGAGGCGGACTTGACTCCTTCTAATAAGAGCTAGGAACTTGGAACCAACGCGATTTGTGTGGAGACGACAGAGTGAACCAATCCTCTGTAGGAGGGAACCGTTGGAGCGCGTTGAACTGGATTTCTTCCTGACGAGGGAGATGGCGAGCCTTAACCACTGAACGAACCAGGACATCTCAAGTAACTGAAGAGCAGACTGCTCTCTTCTGTGAACAATCTCAACGGTGCGGTAGGAAAAAATCGCACCACCGGACTCTGACTTTCACCCCAAGCGTGGGGATTTGACTTGACGCCGGCTGACTTGTGACTCATATGATCAAATCTCATACCGAGCATTTTACTATTGTCGATTGTTTTCATCTGTTTTTGTGTGTTATCTTTATGTGTTATATTTCCCATTATTATTAAAATTTAGTATATAAACCGTTTCATGCTATACCCGTGACTCCAGTCATTCTTAAACAACCTCCAATTCTCCCCGAACCTAATTATTGGCCCATTTGTTTATTTTTTCTTTTAATTATCTTATTGTATCCTGTAATCCGGTTACATAAAACTTGGCGAGCCAGCCAGGAGAATTGTAGAGTTGTTACCTTAGCTAACCATTGACTGACATCATAAGAGTGCCTGGAGGTCACAGTGGTTTGCCATTTTGGCATTATTGGTACTTTTGAGTGTTTTAAAATGGAAGTTGTGAAAACAGAAAAGGTCAAAGTTTCAAATGCTGTTTTAATCAGTGGGTTAACTGATACAGACCTTGATAACGAAGTCTTTGGGTTTATGGAAGGATTCGGACCAGTTAACAGGCGCATTAAGTTACCAAACTGTGATCAGATTATTGTGGAGTTTCAACATGAAGCCACTGTTAAGGAATTAAAGAAACAATGTTTACCCTATGACAAACCTTGTACTAGGAACCCAGATGTTTTCTTCCATATTCAAGACCTAGCCAGCGCGTACAGTCTAGAAACTAGCACATCTGCCACTGATGCCTATCTGTCAGAGCTCAGGGACATAGCTGCGCGTAGCAATCAATCATTTAAAGACCTTCTAATGGAGGAACTGGCAAAAATTGGGGAATCTTTAGGAAGGGATACCCATGCATCTGAACCAGTCACTGAACCAGAGCCAATGCTCCATAGTGACCAAGTTACATATTCCCTGCCTTTAACACCAGAAGTTAACTATATGAACAACTCAAAGGACAATTGTCCACCTACAGAGACTGGAAAACAAAACCCTTGCATTCCACCAAATCTTTTAAACACACCTGAGGTTCAGCGAGTTATTGTGGAACACATTGTTAAAAGCAGTGAGGTTATCCCTCCGCCTACTTCACAATACAGACTAAAACCGTTCTCAGGGCGAGTTCCACACCCTTCTTTTGAAACTGACTATGATACTTGGCGTAGTAGTGTAGTGTTATGCATAAATGATCCTTCACTCACCAAGTCCCAAATTGTACGAAGAATCGTGGAGAGTCTGTCAGCCCCAGCAGCGAGCATCGTTAAAGCTCTTAGTCCAAAATCCGACCCGGAAACGTACCTTGAACATCTCGATTCAGCTTACGCAGCTGTCGAAGACGGCGACGAGCTCTTTGCTCGCTTCTTAAACACAAACCAGGACAGTGGTGAAAAACCTTCCGATTACTTTCAGAGGTTATACACCTTGTTAAACCTAGTTATTCAGAGGAATGGAATTTCCTCCAGTGACGCCGACCAGCAGCTGCTCAAGCAGTTTTGCAGAGGCTGTTGGGACAGCTCGCTGATTTCAAACCTGCAACTCGAACAAAAGAAAGACAACCCGCCTCATTTTACAGCACTTCTCCTCAAACTGCGCACTGAAGAAGACAAACAGGCTACTAAAGCAGCACGCATGAAACAACACTTAGGGGCACAACGAACTAGAGTGTATTCAAATGTGCAAACAACATGCTCTCAGAGTAAAAACACTTGTGAACTGGAAATAGATGATAACTGTGATGACTTACGCAAACAAATCGCTGAGCTCAGGAGCCAAATTGCACAGCTTAAGGTTAACAACACAGATAAAAAGGCAAAGAAAACTCAAAAA